GGGAGTAAATCATTCTTTCACTGCTGATTCCAACTCTTAACTTGGAACTAAAGAAACATGTCGGCCGGGCGTGGTGGCTCAAGCCTGTAATCCCAGCACTTTGGGAGGCGGAGGCGGGTGGATCACGAGGTCAAAAGATAGAGACCGTCCTGGTCAACATGGTGAAACCCCGTCTCTACTAAAAATACAAAAAAAAAAAAATTAGCTGGTCATGGTGGTGTGTGCCTGTAATCCCAGCTACTCAGGAGGCTGAGGCAGGAGAATTGCCTGAACCCAGGAGGCAGAGGGTGCAGTGAGCCGAGATCGTGGCCATTGCACTCCAGTCTGGGTAACAGCGAAACTCCATCTCAAAAAAGAAAGAAAGAAAGAAAAGAAGAAAGAAAGAAAGAAAAGAAGAAAGAAAGAAAGAAAGAAAGAAAGAAAGAAAGAAAGAAAGAAAGAAAAGAAAGAAAGAAACATGTCATTGTACCAAACAACAACAAAAAAACCTCTTCCTTCTATTTGACAGTAAGGGACTGCATGTGCAGGTTTGCAGCATAGGTACACCGCATGGTGCTGAGGTTTGGATGATCAATAATCCCATTGCCCAAGTAGAGTACATCGCATCTGAAAGTTTTTCAGTATTTTTCTCCCTTTCTTTGTCCATCTTTTTAGATGTTTAGTTTCTTTTTTTTAGTGTTTATTTTCACCTTTGTTTCCATCTGCACCCAATTTTTATCTCCCATATATGAGAATGTGTATTTGTTTTACTGGTCTGCTAATTTGCTTACATTAATGGCCTTCTGTTGCATTCACGTTGCAGCAAAAGACATTCTTTCCTTATTTTCTGTGGCTGCATAGTATCGCATGCTCTATACGTACCTCATTTTTCTTATCCAATTTAAGATTTATAGATGCCCTGTTTAATTCTAAGTCTTTTGCTATTGTGAATTTTGCTGCAATAAATTTCTGTCTGGCAAAAGGATTTATTCTCCTTTGAGAGTGATGGGGCTGATGGGTTAAATGGCATCTCTATTTTTAGCTCTCTGAGAAATCCCCCAAACTGCTTTGCACAGGGGCTAAACTTTTATCGCATTCCCACCAACAGTAACAATGATACCTATTTCTCCACAACTTCAACATGTTACTTTCTGACTTATAATAAGCCATTCTAACTGGTGTGAAATGGTGTCACTTTGTCATTTTGATTTACATCTCAGTGATGTTTTGGGTGTTAAGCATTCCTTGAATGTTTATTGGCAACTCTTATGCCTTTCTTTGAGATGCGTCTATATTATTTTTCTGATTTTTCATATTAAATTTTGTATAGATTATGATAATCACTTGTAAGCAGCTTGGAAATACTTTATTTCATATTGTAGAGTGTCTGTATCCTTTGTTGATAGTTTCTTTGGCTGAGCAGAAGCTCTTTAGTTTAATTAGAAGTTTTGATTTTTACTGTTACACTCACTTTTCAGATGTTATTCAGAAACTCATTCCAGGGGCTTGTGTTTAGAAGAGTTCTAAGTGTTCTCCTGGAATCCTTGTAGCTTGAAGACTCACAGCAAAGTCATTAATCTACCTCGACTTATATTTTCTATATGGAAAGAGGTAGGAGCCCACATTTTTCTGTATAAACACTAACCTGTTTTCTCAGTACTATTTATCATAAATATTGTAATTACTATTTTTTAAGACAAAGTCTCACTCTGTCACCCAGACTGGAGTGCAGCGGCACTATCTTGGCTCACTACGACATCTGCCTCCCAGGTTGAAGCAATTCTTCTGCCTCAGCCTCCCAAGTAGCTGGGACTACAGGCACGTGCTACCACACTGGGCTAATTTTTGTATCTTTAGTAGAGACAGGGTTTCACCATATTGGCTAGGCTAGTCTTGAACTCCTGACCTCATGATCTGCCCATCTCAGCCTCCCAAAGGGCTGGGATTACAGGTGTGAGCCACCACTTCCGGCCTGTCAGTAGCATTTCTATAAACTAACAACTCTCTCAAATTTATATTTAAAAAAATTCCATCTACAATAACTGTAGTAACTATACTTTTAAATAAATTTAACCAAAAATTTGAAGCACCTTACATTATATTCAAAAAAACATTAAAGTAAGAAATTGATATGTAAGTTAAAAATTAATCATTAATGGACTGCCATTATTAATACTGTTAAATATTTGCATCACACAAAATGATCTACAGATATAATGCAGTCTCAATTAAAATATCAATGACATACTTAATAAAAATTCTTAAAAACAGGCCAGGTGTGGTGGCTCTCACCTGTAATCCCAGCACTTTGTGAGGCCAAGGTGGGCAGATCGCAAAGCCAAGAGATCAAGACCATCCTGGCCAACATAGAGAAACCCCATCTCTAATAAAAATACAAAAATTCACTGGGCATGGTGGCTCATACCTGTAGTCTCAGCTACTCAAGAGACTGAGGCTGCAGAATCACATCAACCTAGGAGGAAAAGGTTGCAGTGAGCCAAGATTGCACCACTGCAGTGCAGCCTGGTGACAGAGCAAGATTCTGTCTCACACACACACACACACACACACACACACACAAAATTAAATGCATCTAATTTATGTGGTACCACAAAAAATCCTGAATAGCGAAAGCTATCAAACAGAAAAAAGTGAAACGATCACCCTACCTGACTTTGAAATATACTACAAAACTATAGTAACAAAAACAGTATGGTAATTCAATAGAAACAGACACTGGGCCAATGAAGCAGAATAAAAGAGACCAGAAATACAGTCATGTACTTATAGCTAATTGATTTTAAATAAAAGTGACAATTTCTTAGGGCAAAACTGTAAATGCTGTTGAGAAAACTTTATGGCCACACACAGAGCAATAAATGGAGACCTTCAATTCACACCACATATAACAATTCACTCAAAATAAATTAGATGTGTAAATATGAGTCCTGAAATTCTGAAACTGCCACTACTAAAAATAATAATAATAATAATAATAAAGCAGAGTGAAAGCCCCATACCATTGGTGGGGCAATGATTTTATTTAAATTCAAAATCCCAGGGAACAAAAGGAAAAATGAGAGTTGGAATACTTCCAATGAAAATGTTGCTGCACAGAATATTATACATTCAACGGGATAACTAGCAAATGGGACAAGGGGTTAATATCAAAAATGTAAGAAACTTAAATGACTATACAACAAAATCAATAACTATTAAAAATGAGCCAAAAGCATATTTTTCTAGAAAATACATACATATGGCAAGCAGATATATTAAAAAATGCTGAATGTCAATTCTTATTAGGGAACAGAAGCCAAAAAAAGCTGTATCTCAACTAAGTCGTGAGAATTACTCTTACTTAAAACAAAACAAAACAAGGGCCATGTGCAGTGGCTCATGCCTGTAATCCCAGCACTTTGGGAGTTCGAGGCAGGCAGATCACCTGAGATCAGAAGCTCAAGACCAGCGTGGCCAACAAGGTGAAACCCCCTCTCTACAAAAATATAAAAAGTAGCCAGGCATGATGGTGGGTGCCTGTAATTCCAGCTACTCAGGAGGCTGAGGTGAAAGAATTGCTGGAGATGTAGGTTTCAATAAGTCGAGATCATGCCACTGCACTCCAGCCTAGGTGACAGAGCAAGTCTAAAAGAATAAAATAAATAAAATTTAATATGGTTCACTTACCATAAACTCTTAAAATTTTAATTTCTATGATATATTTTCTAGCAAACTTTGCATTTGTCACACTTCGGGTAAGAATCTAGTAAGCCTTTCTGTTTACAATGAGGCACCATGCTAACTGATTTACCCCTCTCACCTGTGGACAGTGTATGCTTTTATCTTAAATGATCTGAAAGCTATATTTATAAGCAAACTCTCCAGTTGAAACAAGTTTTTCAGGGCATTAAAAAATACCAAAGATCTCATCAAAACCCACAGAATACCAGGTGAAATGACATAGCATGAAGAAAACAGTGGGAAAACAGTAGCAATAACACAGAAAAAGAAGGGCTATGATGTATACATGGCTGAAATACACATAAAACAAACAAAACTTAAGATAAGTAGAAAATAAAGCTCATTTTTTAAATTCAGTAAAATTCAGCTTTGCAGCCTGAACAAAAGTCCTCTCCACATGAATAATCAATCTTATTTGTTTACCTTTGATATTTTTTTCTTCCTCTGACTTGAAGTCACAAATGAAAACAGGAATATTTAGGGCATCTGTTACACAGCAAGCACTGCTACATTTATTATAACAACATGCTCATGACTTATGAAGCTTCCATAATACTTATCTAAAAAAACTGACCCTATCTCTAAATAAAATTACTTCTGTCCATTATAAAAAGTGCAAACGGTAACTTAAGAAAAGTAGGCTTATACAGGGTTCTCCAAATAAAAGAACAAAATTGAATGTTCCAACTAAATAAAGTTTAATACACTAATTTTGGAATTATAGCTAAAATTATTTTGTGTGCATAACTTAAATTTATTTATTTATTTATTGAGAAAGAGTCTTCCTCTATCACCCAACCTGGAGTATAGTGGTGCCACCTTGGCTCACTGCAACCTCCATCTCCCGGGTTAAAGCTATTCTCCTGCCTCAGCCTCCGCAGTAGCTGGGATTACAGGGGTGCACCACCATGCCTCACTAAGTTTTGCATTTTTAGCAGACACAAGGTTTCATCTTTTTTGCCAGGCTGATCTCAAAATCCTGACCTTAGTTGATATGCTCACCTCGGCCTCCCAAAGTGCTGACATCACAGGTGTGAGCCACTGTGCCTGGCCCATGACTAAATTTTATTAAAATCATTCTTATAATCACATAGCAGCTCACATACTTAGTACTTTGTAAATTATAAAACAAAAAATATATGTAAGAAACAAGAAAGTCATGGGTCTAGCATAAGTATCAGGCAAGTAAAAACAGAGAATTTGGATGGGGAGATTCTGAACCGTAAGCCGCAATATATTACAGTAATCAATTCAATACAAAGTAGAAAGTATAGATTGGCAGTTTTGCGCAATGGTGGTATTGTAGTCAACGAGGTTTATCCGAGGCACAATTATTGCTAACTGAGAACTTTTCCTAATACCCTGCTAGGATGCGGTGAAATATAGCTGACACTGGCCATTTTTGGCAGTCTCTACAGGGACTGAATTATTTTTTTTTAAAAAAAGAAAGTATAGATTTGCATTCAGCATTTTGGAGGATTTTTGTTTTCTAAAATATCAAACATCTGGCTGGGTGTGCTGGCTCACACTTGTAATCCCAGTACTTTGGGAGTCCAAGATGGGTGGATTCACCTGAGGTCAGGAGTTCAAGCTTATCAATATGGTGAAACCTTATCTGTACTAAAAATACAAAAACTATCCGTGGTCTCAGCTGCTGGGGAGACTAAGAGAGAAGAACTGCTTGAATCCAGGAGGCGGAGGTTGTAGCTAGCTGACATCATGCCACTGCACTCCAGCCTGGGCAACAGAGTGAGATTTTGTCTCAAAAATAATAAAAATAATACAAAATTAGACACCTCATTAAAATAATTTGTCTTCTTCCAATATTGATTTTTTATTCTGAAAATAATTACAAACTCATACTCAAGTAATTTTTTATGCCTAAGGTTTACATTTAGACTAACAGGTGTGTATGTTTAACTCCATGTAAATGAAAACTAAAAGTCTGTGTGTTTGCAAACATACAGGCCACATATTCAAAGAAAAATATATAAGACATTTTAAAAAGTATTTATTCAGGACTCAAATGTGTAAATTGTATTTATGGTTGTATATAATTTTTAGTATTACAAAAATGATTCTGTAGTCAATAATAAATTGTAGTTAAAAATAACTAAAAGTGTAGAACTGAATTGACTGTAATGCAAAAAAAATGAATTCTAGAGGTGATGAACACCTCCTTTAACTTAGTGTGATTATATATTGTATGCATCTATCAGAATATGTATATATAACAAATATTATGTACCCACAAAAATTAACACAAGTAAATTTAAACGTAAAAAAAGAAGAAGAATTTTACCTACAGGAATAATATTCCTTATGTGCAGTTTTAAGCCATTGGCAAAAAAGATTATTAGAGGTGTCAGTCCATTATTTAACCAAATAGTGTATTCTTACCATCTTTTACTTACAGCCTTGAGTAAGGGGACTAGGTTAAAGAAAGTGGAATAATAACAGTTACTTTAATGCACAATATTTAACATGTGAAAAATGTTGACAAGAAATTAAGTTCACACATAATCTGAAATTGTTGACACATACTACATTTTGTTTCATAAAAGTACAATTAGTGAAATATTTTACTACTAATTAAAAAAAACTTTTTTTGAGATGGAGTCTTGCTCTGTCACCCCGTCTGGAGTACAGTGGCACAATCTCGGCTCACTGCAACCTCCGCCTCCTGGGTTCGAGGGATTCTTCTGCCTCAGCTTCCGGAGTACCTGGGACTACAGGTATGCATCACCAAACCCTACTAATTTTTGTATTTTTAGTAGAGATGGGGTTTCACCACATTGGCCAGGCTGGTCTTGAACTCCTGACCTAGTGATTCACCCAAGTCAGTCTTTCAAAGTGCCACAGTTACCGATGTGAGCCACTGCACCAGGCCAATTTAATTTTAACTAAAACTAAAAATATTTGTCTCTTAATATAATGCACAAGAATATTACTCTGCACACTTACCTCATGCATCACTCAATCTTGTAAGTTAACCACAAAGAACCTTTTTACTTAGAATTTCATCATGCATCTCACATTTTAATGTACTCACTCTTTCATAAAAGAGGTCATAAATGCTCACCTAATTAAAAAAATCTCATATGTTTGATGCAGCAATAACTGGTCACATGCTTTTATGTATGAATATGATAGGAATAAAAAAACAGGATGGGCCTGGCAGAGTGGCTAACACCTGTAATCCCAGCACTTTTGGAGGCTAAGCTGGGCAGATCACTTGAGGTCACGAGTTTGAGAACAACCTGGCCAATATGGCAAAATTCCATCTCTACTAAAAATACAAAACCTAGCCAGGTGTGGTGGTATGTGCCCGTAATCCCAGCTACTAGGGAGGCTGAGGCAATTGTGTCACTTGAACCCGGAAGTTGGAGGTTGCTGTGAGCTGAGATCACACCACTGCACCTCAGCCTGGGTGACAGAGTGAAACTGTCACAAAAAAGAAAGATTTCATTAGCATGAAGTAATTTAAGAGTTAATTACAATACTTTTACTATGAAGCAATTACAGAGTTAACTACCACATTATTTGCTCTTGAAAAAATCTGTACTTTTTCCAAAAAAGGTAAATTTGTAATTATAACTCTTGAAAAAAGTTTGTAATCTTTTAAAGTTACATACAGTTTTTCTACCAACTTTAGTTTGAATAATTTTCTAGACTCAGAATACTGGTTTAGTGTAACGACTGAAGTGTCAGTGCCTTATTTATTTTCAATTGTTTGATATTTACATAGACTTAATTTTTGATTAAATTTTTTTCCTACTCAATCTGCAAAAATACGTTTTAGTATAAACTAGCTGGAATTTTCTAAGCTTTAGCTTTTAAATAAATGTTTTTTCCCCAAAGTTATTATACTCCCATAGTTTTTTATATATTCTCTGATATTGAACAAAGTTAGAGCAATTGCTTCAGGGTTTGCCTCTAATACAAAATAACAAAATCTGCTACAAGTAAAGGTACTACAACTTTCTTTATACTTGTAAAGTTTGTCTTTGAAATAAATGCTCCCCAGCACTTGAAAGACTGAAGAATGTTTTGAGAGAATAGCACTTTTAATGCTTTTATTAAGTATAAAGTCTTTCATGTACAGTAAGAATGTGAGCAGATATCAACCACTTTTTATCTCTCTTTATATTTGTACATTTGTTCTCAAGTATAAATGCTTTCCTGCACAATAAGGTGTGAGCGTTACGTAAGAGTTTTGAAGCGTTGTTTATACTTGTAGAAGTTTTCTCCAGTAAGAATGACCTTACCGAGACCGATCCAAGACGGCTGATCACTAACAGCTCAGGATTGTAGCTCCCAGTGAAAGCTCAGAGAACGAGACGACGCCACACTTTTAGACGAATTTTCGTCACTCACGAATCAGCCGATTCCCAGTGGAGGAGCCCCACGGGTCGCCAGCGCGACTCTTGTGGCCGCCGCAGTGGTTTTGCCGGCTTCTCGGCGCAGCAGCTCTTCATGCAGAGCCAACGGGACTGCTTCCCCTACTGACCGGAGTTTGGAGCTCCGGGAAGTCAGAGCCGCTTGTTGCAGACTCAAGAGGGACGCCAGACCAGAGATTCCCGGGCAGAAGTGCACCATCAGTTTTATCGCTGCTATTTAGGCTGCCACAGTGAGTTGCTCAGATCCCAGCACTGGGAATCAATAAGTCGGACGTCGACTCAGAAACCTAATTAGAAAGGCGGTTCATCTACAATGAAGGGAAAAAAACAGCCTAAGAAGGCCGAGTATACTCAAAATCAGAACCCATCAGCCACGGAACAAGCCCTGATGGAAAAGGACTCATCAGTAACGGAACAAGCCCTGATGAAAAAGGACTCATCAGTAACGGAACAAGCCCTGATGGAAGAGGACTCATCAGCAGCGGAACAAGCCCTGATGGAAAAGGACTGTGTTCCATTATCTGAAATAGGCTTTAAAAGGTGGATGATGAGAAATTTCTGGGAGTTAAAGGAACTTGTTCTAACCCAATGTAAAGAAACTAAGAACTTTGAAAAAAGGTTCGATGAAATGATGAAAAGAATAGACAATATAGAGAGGAATACAAATGATCTTATGGAGTTGAAAAATACAACACGAGAACTCAGTGAAATATGTACAAGCTTAAATAGCCGAATGGATCAAGCAGAAGACAGGATATCAGAGGTTGAAGACCAACTCAATGAAATAAAACAAGACAAGAATGGAGAAAAAAGAATAAAAAGGAATGAGCAAAGTCTCCAAGAAGTATGGGACTATGTGAAAAGACCTAATATACGTTTGATTGGTGTACCTAAATGTGATGGAGAGAATGAATTCAAGCTGGAAAATATTCTTCAGGATATTATCCAGGAAAATTTTTCTAATTTAGCAAAGGAGGACACTATTCAACTCCAGGCAATACAGAGAACACCACAAAGATATTCCTCAAGAAGACCAACCCCAAGGCACATAATCATTAGATTCACCAGGATCGAAATGAAGGAGAAAATATTAAGGGCAGCCAGAGGGAAAGATCAGGTTACCCATAAAGGGAAGCCTATTAGGCTTACAGCAGATCTCTCAGCGGAAACCCTACAAGCTAGAAGAGAGTGGGGGCCAATATTCAACATCCTTAAAGAACAGAACTTTCAGCCCAGAATTTCATATCCTGCCAATTTAAGCTTTATAATTGAAGGAAAAATAAAATCTTTTAGGAACAAGCAAGTACTCAGAGATTTTATTACCACCAGGCCTGCTTTACAAGAACTTCTAAAAGAAGCATTATACATAGAAAGGAACAACCAGTATGAGCCTTTCTAAAAATACACCAAAAAGTAAAGAGCATTAACATAAAGAAGAATTTACATCAACGAAAGGATAAAATAGCCAGTTAACATCAAATGGCAGTAACCCTAAATTTAAATCGACTAAATCCCCCAATCAAAAGATACAGACAAAATCTAACGGTATATCTAAAGATATACAAAGACTCAAAATAAAGGGTTGGAAAAAAACTTACCAATTAAACAGAGAGCAAAAATAAATAAATAAAAAGCAGGAGTTGCAATTCTCACAATTAATAAAATAGATTTCAAAGCTACAAGGATACAAGGGTAAAAGGATTAATGTAATAATAAGAGATCTTAACACCCAGACACATAAGACCCATAATGAGATTTATATTCACCGAGACAGAAAATTGATAACGATATCCAGGACTTGAACTCAGATCCAGAACAAATAAACTCAATAGAGCTCTCCATTTTAAACACACAAAATATACGTTATCCACTTTAAACACACAAAATATTGATCGGCCATTATTGATACTCATTTTAGGAATGAAGTAATATTTCTTTTTCCCTCTTTTTCTCTTTTTCCCTCTTTTTCTTTCTCTTTCTAAAAATAAATAAATAAATACAGCTTAAGAAAAAAAAAGAAT